TCTAAAAATGTGTTGATTCTCGCATTTGTTTCGTACTAATTTCATTCTTGTTTCTTCGACAGAATCTACTAATATTATAGAAATTGAATCCAATTCCTGAATTGTCATGCTGACTTCGGACTATATATTTGAAATGTAGGAAACTTATTGACCTACTTGTTGAATTTTTATTAGGCGATCTACAAGAACACTTGTTGTTTTGTTGGGTAAGCGGCTCTCTCAAAACTTCCATATGTCATGGTACAAAAACAGTTTTTAGTAGTTTGTAGTTTGTGATACAAAAACATATGGTTTACTGCAGGATATGTCTCATAGCACTGAAACTGGCTTCAAAACTCTTGAAAACTGTAATAAACCATTGGTTTTGAAGGACATCAGGAAAATCTGGGAAAGTGATGGTCCTAATTTACGTTGGAAAAAAGGACAATATAATGAAACAAACACATTATTGTTGGATGATTCTCTGTATAAGGCATTACTCAATCCAGTAAGATTCGTACCTTCGTACCTGTATATTTATTGTGTGTGTTTACTTTTTTTCAGTTATGTCCTAACTGTTTGTTTTTCAAATTCCCTATAGTTGCACACGGCAATATTCCCCAAGTCATACAGTTACAAGGATAATAAAAGTGACAATTCTTTAGGTACTGTTCTTGGTGTATTTTTGTTGTTATATATTTGTTTGTTCTTTTCTTTTCGTGGTTATTTTTACCGAACGGTGCCCTCACATTAAAATACAGACTTCTTTTGTTGAATTTTGTTGCAGGCCCAAAAGATGACCTTCGGGTCTTTTTGGAAGGATTGTTGACTTACGAAAATGTGCAGAAATATGTTGAACAACATCCTTTTGGTCAAAGTGCTATAACTGAAACTAGTTCGTCTTGGGGATTTTATTCAGATGTTCTCCAGACAGTCAATCGGGGTGGAAGATAACGAAGCAAATACAACCTTTTTAGTATCTTCACAAAGTCAATCGAGCAACAGCCTTTTTAGATGCTGAAGCTTTGGTCTCTTATAGTTTGTTTTTTAGAGCAGATGTTCGTGTTGGAAATTTTAGAGCATATGTTATTGTCGGGGTTTTTTTTTTCCTTGAATAGGCTTTCATTTGAATGATCATATTCTTGCACAAAGTCTAACTGTAGACGATGGTTACATAAGAGTTGGAGTTCATATTCTCTTGCATTTTAGTTTCTGTATCCTGTCTCTGTGTGTATACTGTTTTGTACTCTGTTCATTTTGGAATTGTGCAAATATATGAACTGAATTTTTGGCTCATTTAGTTGGTGTGCAAATATATGAACTGAATTGTGCAAAAGTATGTGTGAAACGTGTTTCTTGACCAATAAGCTATTTCTTGAACAAAAAACAATTTCTTGAACCAAAACGAGTTTCTTGAACAAAAAACGAGAGTTTCTTGAACAAAAAATGAGTTTCTTGAACAAAGATCTCAAATCATTGCACAACACCAACACAACAAGATATAACAACAGGGTCATCATCCTCTTTTTTTTCCAAACGTATCAATTTTATAACCACCTCAAAACAATGTACAAACCCAATCAAAGATTGGACTCATAACAGACCCACCACAAAATACAATACAAAAGCTTAGTGGGGATTACCATTACCAGCAATCCCTATTCAAAACACAAACAGCAAAAAAGACTAAACAATACATAAAAAAAAGGCGCCCAAAAAGCTACCAAGCTACAATTACATCTAATTAATTACAAACCAGAAGAACAAAAATCTTGAACTAAGACTTCAATTCTTCCATTTCCAACAGAAGTAGTGACAGCTACAGCACTGGCACAAAGCTTTGCCCTAGCTTTGCAGTCATTCTCCTTAAGCTTATCCAAATACTCCTCTGCTCCTTCCTCCCTTTCATTAACAGTTGTATATTCTATCCAATACTTTATTGCCCCATCTGCTACCTTCTTTTCATCAAGCCATATTCTTTGAAAGACCCAATTGTTTCGTGTACACCACAGCCACCATAACAAGTAAGTAGTCAGCTCAATTCTCTCTTCTCTACAATTTCCTCTATCCATCAACATCAGAGCAACCCACCATTTCCTAAAGTCATCTTCTTTATCTTGCAAACTGTCCCAACAAAGGCCAGAAATTTTCCAAATTCTCTTAGTAACAAGGTCATCATCCTCATTCATACATTTCGTCGAGCATGTACAGTGCCTATTAAATAAAAGAACAAATACAGCAATGTAATTACTTAAATCAACCGCACCCTCACATTAAATATTTCATTGCTAGCCAACATAATTTGGATAGCCAGATGAAGGAATAGCAACACATCAAATTTCGAACACATTATTAATTAGTAATATTAATAATGAACATATCGGATAAATGCATGCAATACAGAATGCGATTGGAAAGGGATAATCAATATTTCATCAAATCGTTATTAATATGATTTTCCGAATTATGATTTCAGAATTGATTGACAATATGATTTCAGAATTCAGCTTATGAAGCATAAGCAAACCAAATAAAATTTACCCGGTCTTTATTTGAAGATCGACTCATCTAATTCATCATAAATTCTGTTTTCACGATGCCGATGAATGATTGAATACAGAAGCATTCAAAGCAAGCTTTTCACTTCGACGGGGAAGAAAGTTCTTTTTTTTTTTTATGCGTGACGTCTAATTGTGTTGAAGATGAAGATGATTGATTGTGTTCAAGATAGAATGCAATTTAATTTCAATTCGTTGCCTAATTGGAATATGTAAATGTAATTAGGGTATAATGAAAATAAAATAATAGTTAAACACCCTAGTTTATAATTTTTTTAATTAAGGGTACTTAAGTACTTACACAAACTTGTTTTTTAATTATTTTCGTAATTAATTAATTAAGAGGGCACATGGCAGGATTTTAAAGGGGAACCTAATGTTAGGTAGGTACGAAGCTGGTACGAGGCAAATCTGATAATAGAATTACCCAAGTTGCTTTGAGGCAAAACTATGTGGTGTCATTTCAAGTTTTTTTCTTTTACCTATTTATTTATTTTTTGTTCTTTCTTGAAATGTTTTAGGTATTAGTTATGTTTCACGGTTTCATCCAATTCAAGTTTATACATCTCAATTAGAGCTATTAAATTAAACGAGTTCGGCTCAGCTCGAATTGAAGGTTTTAACGAGCCGAGTTCAAGCTTATTTAAAGCTCGTTTGTTAAACGAGTCAAGCTCGGTACGGCTCGGTACGACTCGAAAAGATAACTTTTAAATAATTTTTTATAGTTCGGTTCGTTAAATCTCAAGATCGGCTCGTTAAAGCTCGAGTTTCGAGGCTTTAACGAGTCGAGTTTGTGCTCGATTTTTGGCTCATTTATTTAGCGAGTCGAGCTTGACTCGGTTCATTAAGGGCTCGAGCTTAGCTCGGCTAGTTTACAGGCGAGTCTCAATTAATGTTATCTTATATTCTTAAACCTAGGGTGAGATTTTTAAATCGGGAACTGGAGAATCGACATAAATCTAACTGAAAAAGTCGATTCGGCTCGGTTATTTGTTAATTTTTTTATATTTTGTTTGGCACTGTAGGTAATAATGTTGAGCTTGGGACTAAGCTCCGCGACTGTCGAGGGATATAGAATCAAAAGGCCTTTGAGGAAGCTCGGGCTAGCAGGTAGTTGAGATCCTTAGCATGAGGAAAGCCGAGCTGATTAGTAGGCAGTTGGCTATTATGACGTGGCGATTTCGTGTGACCAAGGGAGTCTGATTCCTTATGACTATGAGAGTTAGAGATAATAAAGATTCTGAGATCCGAGATGAAATATGCCTTGATAATAGATAGATACAAGGGAGACTCTCGACTACGTTAGAAGTATTGTAAGACTCAACCACCTTGGTCTATATAAGAGAACAAGTTTTTTTACTTCTACACAACACACATATACGAAATATGTCTTGTCGCGTTACTCTGCTTTTCTCTCTCGGATATCCTACAGACTTGAGCGTCAGAGTGCCCGCATCGAGATTCCCCCAGTATGTTTTGTGGAGAATCGACGATTGAGAAGGCGCAAACCGGTTCGAGAGAGGCGATCTAGCGGTTCGGGACAATTTGATGTATCAAACCACAAGGACCAAATTATAATTTTTAAACTTCTACAATATAGCAAATTGACCCTTAGGGTTTACCATATTCCCGAATTCAAGTTTGAAGTTGGGCATCAGGGAAGGAAAGAATGCAGACGAGCTTGTTGCCTGTTGAACAGGCAGCCATTGTCATGTCTACCATGGAGGGCACAAGCTACATTCTTCCTTGCAATTTGTATTTGAGAAAAAAAAAGCAACAACAATGGCATTGAGGTAACGACATCAACGGGGCAGTGTTGGGTAGGAAAAGTAGTGGTGGTGTTACAGTAGAGAAAAATGGAAATGGCAGAGGTCGACTGAAGGAAGGACGACGGGGGTTGTGTGCAGAAAGATGATGAAAGAGGCTGTGTAGCTAGGAAACAACTACGAGGAGGTGGTTGGGAGAAAGCGACGATGTTGGTGAAGAGAAGGAGCGACATCGACAATGAGGAGAAAGAGGAGAGAGGCAGTGTGGGGGCTGGGTGGGGAAAGGGTAGCGGCGATTGGTCGGAAAGAAAGCAATAGCTGAATGGAAAGAATCTGACGATAGTTATTGGATTTGTGATTTCTTGTAATTTTTTGCAAATTTTTCTTCAACAAAATAACTTTCAACAAAAACGACTTGTTCACATGGTTGATTGTAAAAAAAAGTTTATATGGTAAGTTGCGACGACAAAATGTTTTACCCTTTAAATATAAAAGTTAATTGAGAAAGCGTTTTTTTACTAGTCTTTTATGTTAACTACCCACCCCAGAAGGCAAAACCCTAACCTTGCAATAAAAACCCTTTCTCCATCCTACTGCCTGCCAACACACAGACGCAGAATACATACATAGAAGATAAAAGAGAAAAGAAGAAGGGAGAACCCCTTCTTATACAGAGCGAGTGATAAGATAGTGTGTAATGTCTCTGTACGTGCTCTACGAGTCGGCCTCTGGATACGGTCTGTTCTTTGCGCACGGGCTCGATGAAGTAGGGCAGAACACCGAGGGGGTTCGGAACTCAGTTTCCGACCTGAACCGGTTCGGGAAGGTGGTGAAGCTCGCTGCATTTAGTCCCTATGAGTCCGCACTGGATGCTCTCAATCAGTGCAACGCCGTCTCCGAAGGTGAAAACAATCTGGGGTTTAATTGATTTCAGTTGCTCTTAATTTTCGTGTGTTCACTTGCTGTTGTGTTTCTTGGTCGTGCTGTGTAATGTGTTGGGCTCGTGTTCACTGTAAGTGTTAAATTGAAATGTGTTGTGTTGTTGTGCTGTATTAGTTGAACATCTTCACTGAGTTTATATGTAATGGGAGAAATTTGATGCTAAAGAGATTTGGTATGCAGGACGTGTAAAGAAATATTTGGTTAGCTGAGCATATGCTGTGTCGTATTTGCAAATCATGTTGTATATTTTTTTCTTAAAGATAAAGAAGCCAAAGGAACTTAATGTATATAGGGTAGGACTAGAATTGGGTATAAAAGAATGTTCATTTTGAACTAAAGAACCGCTATGGGAGTACATTTTCGTAAAATGTAAATTGGGGTTTTAACTTGCAGGTCGATTTATGTCGTCTTTCTAAAGCAATTTATATCTATCTTTCTTGGAAGTGTAAAGATTGATCTCTGAATCAATGTAAATAGGCTATTTCTCATCATCATAGTTGTTGTCTGTCACTCTGTATGCTTACACTGTTCTTTTGGGTTTGACTTTTTTTGGAAAAGGGAAATGAGATAATAATAGAAAATGTAAACTCTTGAACTACCACAAATTTCTATTGTTTGGGAATATCGTATTAGCTAATTAGAGGCGGCCAAATTGGACAATTGATTGCTATTAAATCATTTTTTTCTGGAGAAAAGACATTATTTACCGATGTGATTTGGAAAAGGTCAAATGACTGACGAGCTGAAGAACTTCTTGGAGCTTAATTTACCAAAGGTTAAGGAAGGAAAGAAGGTGAAGTTTAGCTTGGGAGTGGCAGAGCCAAAGCTTGGGTCACATATTTTTGAAGTTACGAAGATACCCTGCCAAAGCAATGAATTTGTTCTTGAGATACTTCGAGGCATTCGGTTGCATTTCAGTCGTTTCATTGAAAACCTTAAGGTTGGTAATACATTATTATTATTATTATTATTATTATTATTATTATTATTATTATTATTATTATTATTATTATTATTATTATTAAGGTTAGTAATGCATCATCCTGTATTTCTGGTGTGTGCTACTGATTTTTCACCCCTTTAAATCAATCAGCCTGGAGATTTGGAGAAAGCGCAACTCGGTCTGGGTCACAGTTACAGCAGGGCGAAGGTGAAGTTCAATGTGAACCGCGTGGATAATATGGTTATTCAGGCTATTTTTCTTCTTGATACCCTTGATAAGGATATAAATTCCTTTTCCATGAGAGTAAGGTTAGCATATTCCTTTACTTATCCCCTTTATGACATTCTTTTTTACTGTCACTTTTCATATCCTTTTACTTGATCGTTTTAATGGTTAGCGATTATATTCACTATTCGTAGTTGTCCTTGAGAATATATTTACATATTAACACAACTTTTTCTAACAAAAAGAGTCATGGTTTTATTCAGGGAATGGTACTCTTGGCACTTCCCTGAACTAGTGAAGATTGTCAACGACAACTATCTTTATGCCAAAGTTGCAAAGTATGTGGAAGACAAATCTCATTTGTCTGAAGAACATTTATCGGGCCTGACAGACATTGTTGGAGATGAAGATAAAGCAAAGGAGATCATAGAGGCTGCCAAGGCATCGATGGGTATGTATAGACTGGCCACCTATGCTTGATTTAGGTACATATGGGTTCTAATCTCTGTGTTCTTCTTGCAGGACAAGACCTGTCACCTGTAGATTTGATTAACGTCAAGCAATTTGCACAGAGGGTGATGGACCTTGCCGAGTACAGGAAGAAGCTCTATGATTATCTGGTGTCCAAGATGAATGACATTGCACCTAATTTGGCTGCACTCATTGGTGAAGTTGTTGGTGCTCGTTTGATTTCTCATGCTGGCAGTCTCACAAACTTGGCAAAGTGTCCTTCATCGACTCTCCAGATTCTTGGTGCCGAGAAGGCTCTTTTTAGGTAGTTGTTTTTGAAGGCGGCATACTTTTCGTGATTTTTTTTTTCTTTCTATTTTGTTAATTGGCAGCTTATTAGAAACTTTTTTTAAGCATCTCCTGTTGTTGGTTCTTGTGCTATATATATATTCAGGGCTTTGAAAACCAAGGGGAACACTCCAAAGTATGGTCTTATATTTCACTCTTCCTTCATTGGACGTGCTTCTGCTCGGAATAAAGGCCGGATGGCTCGGTACCTTGCGAACAAGTGCTCTATTGCTTCTCGTATTGATTGTTTCTTGGGTAAGTTTATTATTTGCCTTTCTCAAACATATGTTTATCTCGCATTTTCTGGATTATTGAACATATTTATTAATGGGAAATTATGTTCATATATATCTACTGTTTCAGATAAAAGTACCACTGCTTTTGGAGAGAAGCTGCGTGAACAAGTTGAAGAGCGGCTGGACTTTTATGATAAAGGGGTTGCGCCTCGTAAAAACCTCGACGTAATGAAATCAGCTATTGAAACAGTCGACAGCAAAGGTTTGTAATTTCATATTTGTTGTATATGTTCATGTAAAATTACTCAAATGCCAAGTTAGATGACAAACAAAAAGCAATTTCTGAATCGTAATCTCCCGATATTTAGAAACTATCTTCTTATATTGGATCTTCTTGAACTGATATGTTTGTTCTGCTCGAATTTCGGCAGAGGATGAGGCTACTGCTAATGTGAAGGGAAATGCAAATGACGAGGAGCCCAAGACTGAGAAGAAGAAGAAAAAGAAGGAAAAGCGAAAATTGGAGGAAGAAAAAGTCGAGGAAAAGAGTGACGTGAATAATGGATCCAAGGCCGGGGAAGATGGGATGACAGCCAAGAAGAAGAAGAAGAAGAAGAAGAGCAAAGATGATGAAGTCATGGAAGATGTTCCAGCTGCTACAGAAAGTAAGAAGAAGAAGAAAAAGAAGTCGCGTAGTGAAGACGATGATTGATTTTTGCTAGATGAAGGTAATGGACTTTTATAAGACAGTAAAAATCTAACTACTGGAAAAATTTATCTGGTATTTTGGTTATCTACGATGGTGATTATCGTGTTTGTGTTTTTATCTCGAGACGGTTAACAGAATATTTTTTTTTTTTTTGGATAATTGGTTTATGACAGTTCTTTTTTAGCTGTGCGTAATTACTCAAAATTATCTTCAAGAACAAAATGTCTGTTATGCTTAATATCGTTAATTTGATCTGTCTTAATTCTACCCGTTATTCGATTAGTTTTTTCTTCTGGAAATTGCCCGAAGCTTATGCTGTTATGCGTTATAAATCACCCTTTAGTTTACATTTATGAAAATTTTATTTTGAATTGCAAAACATGTAAAAGAACCATGACATATATGATTACTAAAGACCATGAATTAGACACATAAATTCAGAATCAAATAGATTCAAAATGCGAGCACCATCACCAGAAATGACTCAATAGTTCTGAAACACCATGAAATATAAATTCATAACACCAACATATAAAATTTGCATAGTACTAAAAGTTGCTTTCATTTCTCGTGGGGTCATATTTCATCTTCTCCTTTAAAATCGAACGGCCAACCTCATTTTGAAACCCAAAATTTGGTCACACAAACAGATGCAAAATAAAAATCGATCTATTTTTTTTTTTTTCAAAAAA